TGGTAAAAATGGACACATTCATGGATAAAACATAAAATATTGACTAGATTTTAAGGATTGTTTGTGAAAAGACTAAACTGTCAAAATAACACTGTCTGGTACATAATGAGTTTTCTAAAAGTAAAACTGAGAACCATTTTGATGGTCATCAAGCAGCTCCAAAACAGTCCTGGAACGAATTACGTTGTGAATCTTATTCACTTTGTGTTCAATTCCAATTTCAATTTTAATTGAGGTTAGACTCATATTTTAATTAACTAGCAGCATCTTGAAGGCAATCTAAAGAGGTTTAAACCAAGTGTTCCAGAGAGGAACTATAGTTAAAAGTTGTCTTGAGGTTGTTGTTTTTGTTGTTTGTCTGCTTGTTGAATTATGAAAGTTCACAGTCTTTTTTTGTTGCTTTGATGACCACACTGACATTTAAGACTACGATAAAATCATTTGCCACATTGTCACATGTACAGGAATCCCATTGGGTTTCCTGTACAGGCCTCATTTTCTGCTCGTCTTTACAGCGACAATGTAATAAATTGGGATTGAGTCTGAACATTGATCTCGCTGCAGAGACGGATTTATGAACGGTTCAAGGGAGTGCGTATCTCGCCCCTGAGGAAAACTGCGGTTGAGTAAATTGGAGCCAACAAGCAGGGCAATAAGGGGGGGCGGGTGCCTTTCTTTTATTCACACACTGGCCAACGGCAGGCTTGAAAAGCACACAGTATATTATAAATAAAGGCGACGGAGCGCTCAAGGTGTCTGTGCTTAGCGGATGTTTTATTCTCTGCGCCTGTTCTCTGGGGGCCACAGACGAATCCTGACTACAACGTCAGCAGCATTATTGGAGCCCAACGACACTCGTGCAGAGACAAAGCAGCTAATTCATTCACTGTAATGAGTCCATTACGGCAAGTCTGCACTAGCTAAATCACTGCTAGCGAGGAAGAAATACTTGGTGAGTGATGCAACTTGCCAAGATAGATAAGCCAGTGATGTATCATGTCGAAAACAGGGCACTTGTTTTTTTTTACAGTAACTTGTACGTGCCTTTATTGATTTGCTAGTTTTTCAGGCCTTGGAAAAGTAATGTAAATTAAATCTTAAGTCAATGAAGTTGCATAAATACTATCATTCAAAAGTTTGGGGTTGGTAAGATTTTTTTCATGTTTTTGAAAAATGTTTCATTCTAATATGCTGATTTGCTGCTTATGAAGCAGAATTATTATCAAAGTTAAAAATGTTTTAGAAAATATTTTTGTGGAAACCATAATAACACTTTTTTTTCAGTATTCTTTAATGAATAGAAAGTTCAAAAGAACAGCACTTATTTGAAATAGAAATGTGTTGTAACATTATAAATGTCTTTATTACTTATAATTTTAGTGCATCCTCCTACATTTAATGCATGTATTGGTTGAACAGATTTGTAAATCAGTCTGAATGATTAATTAGCAGATCGACTTGAATTGTAATGATTTTTTTTTTGTAATCTTATCCAGTAATCACAAATGACTGACATGAAAAGTGTTTTCGTTTCTTTTGATTTAAAAAAATTGTGGAAAACCTGGACTTTGCCACGATGAATGTTCTGAAGCAAAATAAATCTACTTCATTATAGAACAAACATGGTTAATTCCATTACATTTTTTATTAGTTTCTCAGCAGCATTTCAGCAATGTCTGTAATTGCACATAACACACAAAAATCCACAGACACACACAATGTCTTTGCATCCAGATGTTTTTGTTGTACAGAAGTTTGTTCCACATTAACATAGGATTTTAACTCATGTGGTGTCATTGAAAAGCAACATTTTAACATTGTTCTTTGTTTGTATATATGCGTGGCTCAGTTGTGTCCTGACCCTATTAGAAATTCTTTGTGTATATGCAACCATTTATATTACCCCCACCCCCCAAAACAATAACCTTAGAAACTCACTTTAAAGCTCAGAGTCCTTTGATAGTTTGCAAAAAGGGATACCAAAGGGCACCATATGGTCAGAACTGCAGTTATTATCTTTTATGCCTCTCAGCTAATAATAGAGGATATTCTTTTATCTGCCTAATACCAACAGCACCAGTAAAGCGATACGGTTCTAACTGAGTTCATCCAGTAACGCAGCAACAATCGCTCGTTAAGTTTGAATTGCAGAGACATTGGTAATTTTATCGTATCAAAGAAACAAGCTCTAATGAAGCACTGTTCAGAGAGTCTCACATCTCACCAGTGTCAATTTGAATGTGATATGAAGGGTACGGTGCGGGAAGACGTGCTTCTGTCTCAAAAACTATCAAAACCTTGAACGGGGCAAGTGGTTCCCGACCATCTGTCTTAATGACAGACCACCAGGGAAAGAGAAAAATGAAATTTTCCACCCAGGTTGTGAAGGTAGTGGCCCACAGAGAGGTCTGTCTGCAAACCATCAAAGCAGAGAATGCGCCTGCCCTTCATCATGGCTTGTCAGCCATATGCCAGCGGGATACGGAACTTTGCCTTTTCCTCATAACTGTTTATTTGTCACTTCCTTCCCCGCCGCTCGACCTGCCACGCATCAGCACCAATGATTTATGACCTCGTTTAATCAAGCGCTCGTAGGACATGGAAAAAGAGAGAGAGAAAAAACACCCGACACTTTCGCTTCTGTGAGCCACTTACACTAACAACGGCAGCCTGGAAAAGTTTTGCGAGTCTCCTCCCCACCTCAGCTCAGTGGGATCACAGTGCAGTGGCAACTCATATTGAGGCTGTCACTTTTATTGGGGCCATTTGTTTGAAGGGAGTTGAGAAGAACAGAGCGAGGGAGAGAAACAAAGTGAAAGGGCTGAATGCAACTTTTGCGCTGGCAGGTGACTTTGTCTGAGTTTAGTAGACAGTGAGGATGCAGCTGGAGGTTCCCTGAAGTGAGTTTGGCCTCTGGCCTGAAAGAACTGAGCAAGAGAAAAAAGCGCGTGCACACATACATTGCTGTTTGACATCTACCAGATGAACGCCCCACATACTGTCTCCCCATCGGCTAATATACTCTTTTATTTTTCATCACAGATGTCCTGCTCTGTTTGGGTTGTTTATAATTGCATTGGGGGCCTGCATTGAGCTCTCTGTACACAAACCAGAAACCCTCTGAGGGTCTGAAGTGCTACTATCATTAAGTTGCCAGTCTTTTTGGTGCCATATTAAAAATAAATGTCAGTGCTGCATTTCTGACACAATGGGTCTTCTCTGGAGTATACTGGAGGTATGTAGACATCATGCGTGTAAATATCATGTCACACTGGGTTTGTTGTTAAATAAATGCTTCCTTAAAATCAAAAGGGAAAAACAACAGATTCCTGTGCTACTTATTTTTTTTAAGTAAATTCATTGTTTAATATTTTTTAAATCATTACTGTCATTTCTGAGTACTCTAGTTCTCAAGTGCTCATGCTCATCTCTATTAGGGACACCACAGCTGTTGTGGATGTACATCAGCTGTTTATAGATGCATTTTGTCAAACATTGTTTGTGTGCTTTGAAAAAAAAATGCAGTGTTTTGATTTGAAGACATCTCTTTCAGAATTCATGAAGCAGGAAGAACCAGTATAAGCATCTTTAAAGTGAAAACTTTAGAGGTTTTTAAATGTATGAACGATTCCTTCTTGATGTCAAACATAGCACACAAACCTTACAGTCAAAGCGTGACTCTTTTCATGTACGTAACTTTAATGATGCCTGCTTCAAAGCTTTCATATGTAATGAAGAATTTCACCGGTCCTTCCAGTTCAAACCTTCCATCAACACATGGCTGCTGCACCTAATGGATTTATGTTATTGGTGGTAATCCAAAGCCCATGTATTTTGTATTTGAATAATGTGCAAACGGTCGACAAGCTTCAGCAAACTCCTGCTGCTTCTGAAAATGAACAAACAGTAATGTGTGGAAAGATAAGACTTCACTCAATTTTTTTACCTTTTGAAATTACTGCCTTTGCTGTTTCTTTGCGCTGTCACTGAAAGGGGTCAAATGCATTACCTACTACCTGACTAACATAGAGAAAATCTACTTTTTCCATCTGTTTCGCTTTTCGTTTGTGTCTACCTCACGTTAGCAAAATTAAAGGTGTTTGTGCGCTCATATTGACTGAAAAACATTGCATTGAAAGTTGAATTCCAAAAGTAGCAATGTTTGACAAACAATATATAAACTTAATGAGCTAATGCAACAGTTCTTGAGCATATTGTCTTAATTTCACTGTGTTTAATTAATTTACGTTTGTAAAATGGAAATTTACTTAATCCGTTTGTGTTACTACATGAATTATTTTTATTGCGTCGACTAAAACAGGGCAGTGGAGTTCTAGTTCCACGAATGCTTTGCATCTGACTGGAGCAGAAGAATAAATTAAATGTTATTTTATGTTTTTGAGAAATAAAAAAGAAGAAGAAATATTGGAGTATTTTTAGTGTCCTGTTCTGTTACATGATGCATGTTGTTTTAGTGAGCAAGTACTGCACATCCTATATTACATGTAGTTAAAAAGCATGCTAATGTCTAGCTAGTAATTAACTTGAAAAAGTTTGAATTAAGTAAAAAGTTGATCAAAAGTACTTAATCAATTTACTAGGTGTTTCACTGTTTTAGGATTTACATTGCAGAAAGTGTTTGAGTCAAACCAGCATGGCAATTTTGTGTTAAGAACTGAATTACGTTCAGCCAAAGAATTAACATTGATTCTGATTGTCCTGATTAATATTCTAGAAACGAAGACATTCAACAATTCATTTAAGTGTTAACAGCGGTGGAATCTTATGGGGTGTTAAACATTAATGCCCTTGAACGGGGCTGTGAGAATGGAGAAACAATTCTGAGATTAAATTACTGTACCACTGCACCACAACACACAATCAATCTCCCTCCCTTTTCCTTTAACAAAACACAAACCTAGACTTATGTAATTTCCTTTTTTGCCCCCGGTGCATTCTTTCTAGTAATTTCTCCTTTTTTTCCTCTGCCTGTTTTTCAGATCACCTGAAGGCACATCTGGAGGAGTACATGTCCAGATTTCCTAAGGTCCGTATCGTGCGCACCAAAAAGCGAGAGGGTCTGATCCGCACACGGCTGCTGGGAGCATCAGTGGCTAGAGGAGAAGTCCTTACTTTCCTGGATTCTCACTGCGAAGCCAACATCAACTGGCTGCCACCCCTGCTTAGTGAGTCCACATAAAAGCTGCCTACCCTGGCGGCAGGTACACACAGATATCGCTGTTTTTTATGCCTATCACTGTGAGAAAACACAAGCCACTGAAAACCAAATGGAATGTTATTTGTGCTTATCTTTCTCCTTTGAATCTAGCAATTTCAAAATTCAATTGCTTTTTCCCGTCGAAAGTCTTTTCCCCTGCAGTCGGTTGATTAACAAAAAAATAAAATAATCCATCTCCTTCTTTCTTGTCTGTGGCTTGTTCCTTTTATCACAGAAAAACCTTTCTTGTTTTCAGACTCATTGAGGATAGAATCTATAGTTTATCCCGCTGCGCCACATAAGCATTGCAAATCCTGACAGCTTTTGATGCACTGTTATAAGATGTTTTGCACATTCATCGCTTATTGATATGATACGAGCTCGTTTTTTACTTAGTAGGCATGATCTGTCTGTTTTTTCTGGGCTGATCATCAGGTGGTCGTCCCAGAGACGTGGGGACAGCATGGCGAGTTCTAATTGGTTACAGTGAGCTGTGTATGGCCTTTGAGAGGCATGCTGGGATGTGGCCTGGCATGTGTGTTTAGAGTGGAGCTGATGCACAAGCGGACGACAGGTACTGTGTTGCAGGCTGTTTGAAACAGAGCTCTGATCTGTAATGTGAAGGACTGGGCTCCACCAGTCAGTCAAACCATTGCTTGTTCGATAGGATGCAACCAGACTATTTATAAATGATGTTTGGCCAGATACACCAAGGTTACATGCCTTTAAAATGTGATGACCAAAGAAAACAAACTTTTACACAAGCACAAATAGTACTTTGTTTTATCAAGAACTCTCCAGCCATTATAGAGTACAGTAGCTGTGTTCTGGACATAAAAATCTCATTGATGTCCTCCTATAGAGAACTACTTCTTGTTCTTTTTTTATTTTTTTTTAATTATTATTATTATTTTTTAATAAAATCATTTGCGGACCAGTGTCAGTGTCACAGTGTTCAGTGTCATTAAAAAAAAGGAGATGCACTTCTGGTGGAAAATGTACATCACCCATAATCCTAAAGAGAAGTCCTCCATGATTCTACCAATAACAGAAGTCACTGTTGCCATGAAATCAAGAACTGCAACCAAGAGGAAAAAATACTTCTATGAAACATTGTGAATTATGTAATCAACATGCTGGGCTTATAATATATTTTTATATAATTAAATATTTAGCCATAAATTTAAGGACAAAAACTCACAGACTGTACCTCTGTAGTTTATTTAATTAATATTTTTTTTTGTAATTATTATTATTATTTTATTTATTTATAAATACAATTTATTTAATGCCATTTGCAGTGCTTCATGGAATGTCTCATTTTAAATTATGGTAAATACAAAGTCTTTACTTTGGGGAAATAAAACCTTTTTTACTTTCAAATCAAAGTTTATAATGGCGTTTATGGCTCAGAACTTTGTCATATTCCAAAGCAATAGGAATTGGGAGTAGATTTAGCCCTTTTGGATGCTCAAGTACTTACTTGTCTTATTCTGTGTAACTGTCATAAATTGTGGTTATTTTGAGGGAGTGTAAATCCACAGCACTATTCAGACTAGTTTGGTTTTCAAAATAACATTTGAGTTACAGTTTTTACCATAGAATGTCTGTGATTTTCATGATGGTACTTTGATCTCTGCAGTTTTTAGTAAGGTTGATATGGCTGTTGTCTAGATGTGGTCATTACAAAAGGTTATGTGCTCTGGATACATGCATCATAAAAACAAATTAAATTAGCTATTATTACATATACTGTTCAAAAGTTTGGGGTCAGTAAGATTTTTAAAGACTTTTTCAGCAAGGATTATCAATTTAAAAAAAAAACATTTGTGCTGCTTATTATATTTGTGGAATCCATGATGCATTGTTTTCAGGATACTTTGATGAACATTAAGTTAAAAAGAAAAGCATTTATTTGAAATAGAAATCCTTTTTATTTAACATTATAAATGTCTTTACTGTCTCTTTTGATCAGTTTTAATGCATAAACTGATCAAAAGAGACGGTAAAGACATTTATAATGTTAAATAAATAAAAATGATTTCTATTTCAAATAAATGCCTTTCTTTTGAACTTAAAGGTGGGGTGGATTTTGATAGCTCCGCCCCACACATACGTACGCAACGCAGGCAACGATTAGTTCTGTGAAACAAAGCAAAACGTCTCAGGTTACTTATGTAACCATGGTTCCCTGAGTAGGGAACGAGACACTGCGTCCTCTAGGGGTCGCTATGGGGAATGCCTCGTCGTGACCCGTGTCTGAAGCATACATTAAAAAAACACCAACTCGTTGGCCGGCGACAGCCATGACGTCACTACCGGTGCGATTATAGTATAAATAGGTGCCGGGAGCTACACATCATTCACTTCTTCGTCTGAAGCTTGCGTCCGCAGCATGGTAAGAAACCTAGAGGACGCAGTGTCTCGTTCCCTGTATGTAACCATGGTTACATAAGTAACCTGAGACGTTCCCTTTCATGGGAACTTCGAACTGTGTCCCCTAGGGGTCGCTATGGGGAACGGTATACCCACGCCACCATGCTGAGGGGAGTGCAAGCCAGAACCATGGCGAGCACTAAAGTATCAACTCTACCATATTGCCATGGGAGTTGCCCCTGGGATGTTAGACGGCTGTCAGTGA